CTAGCAAGGAGATCGGGCTGAAACTATAGCTACAAGCTATCCAAGGATGGTACTATAGAATGTCACCTCAAGGTAGGCCTAGTGGCGTCATCTCTTGGTTAGGCCGGAAACTTATCAATCCACCCTCGTATATCATGGGGTTAACAAGATTGAAAAGGTTACCGCTGGTTTAGACCGACGTCGACAGGAGGGTTTTATAAGACATTTTACGTTCAAACCCCACAAGAATACGCATCATTCAGTAACTCTTTACAACTTTCAGATATTAACATTAATAACTTTTATCGCAGCTATCACATTTTTTATCTTCGATACACATATATATTTCTGGAATGAATTAATTTTATCTAAACATTTCTCATTAGTAGATTTCAAATTAATAACAACAAATATTTGTTAGATTTCTACTTTATCCGGATTATTCTACATTAAATGAGTTAACCTTATCGGTCATTGGAAGTCTTGATAAACGTTATTGTCTACGTTTCACGTTGTGGAAGAGTATGGCATTAAAAGCGATGTTACCTTTCAAAAGAAGACACTTAAGTTTTGCTACACACTTTATGATGGATTATTCATTTTTAGGGTTCTGAGAAGAGTAATCCAATATTGTCTTCGATAAAGCCTTAGTAAGGAATGCAATAACTAGGTCATTACTGAACGTAAGAGGTATACACTTACGAATTAATACAAGGAATATTAAAGATATAAGTAAAAGAGTCAGATAGAGAGACCTACTCTCCCCGTAGTCGTTCTAAGCAATGTTATGGAACATATATGTTCAAGAGTCTCAAATGGAAAGCGTAAGTGTACGCAACAATGGCAAAATGTTGAATTATTTAAGATTTACGCTGCAAAACCAATGCCATTAGTATGTGTTTCTTTCCATGCATCACATGTGAATACCAAACTTCGACATTAACAGACAACTGCTACGGAAATTAAAAGTAAGCAAAACGTGGAAATATATACGTATCCTATCCCTAAAAATAAAATTCTGACAGACGCTTCATCATCATCATAAGGTCGTCAGTCCAGACTGGTTGGACACACCTCCACTCATTTTTATCCTGAGCTAATCTTCGCATTTCCCTTAAACTAGAACATCCCACATCTTTAACTATTTGCGAACAGTAATCTAATTTAGGTCTACCTCTACTCCTCTTAACTCCTTTTTGGGCCTCTAATATGTCTCTGACTACACTTTCATGCCTGAGAAGGTGTCATACCAAACTATCTTGCCTATTTTTTATTTACTTCCATTGAGTCCTCTGTTCTCCTACTCGTTCTAATATTTCTTCATTTTTAACCTTCTCTATCCACTGTATCCTCATAATTTGCCGGTAAAACCACATTTCGAACGCTTCTAAC